CACAGTGTTTTTAGAGCAAGGAAGTATTCAGTAACGGTCATCCCTCCTTGGCGTAATTCTCTCACCTTGGTGTTGAGATCAAAAGCCTGAGATGCATTGCCCTGGTCAGAGTAATATTCTTTAACAGCTTCCCAAATTTCTTGAGCTGTATCAAGAAATAAATAAGTTTGACTGATATCTGGTTCCATTGAATTAGTCAGCCATGTTATGACTAAAGCATTTTCAGTCACCTAAGCATCATAACCAGGTTCACGTTCTGCTGGTTTTACCTTTTTCCATCAAGATACCCTATCTTCCCTTTAGCCTGGATAAGCAACTTAACAGATTGACACCAGTGTACATAGTTCCTACCGTTTAAATGGTGATTGGTGATCTGCATTACTGGGTTGTCTCCAGAAGACGAAGAGTTGGGAAAAGGCGAGGTTCTAGACAAAATTTCAGAAATTTCAGCATCCTTGGCTTTCTAACAGGTACCTAGAAAAAAAGTTCCTTCAAATACGACTTTGACCCTCAAATCAGGAAGAGGGTTGCTCGCCAAAGTCAATGAATGAGAGCAATCTTGGCCACAGTGAAACAGTAATTGCTACAGTAATGAACAGTACTGCTATGGGTCTTCTGTGGGCTGGCTCCGAATTTTTGTTATGAACCTAATGGTGGCCTTGGTTTCGTGGTTGGAGGTGTCTATGTAAGGATTTTGGCTTGGCAGTGGCTAAAACAAAAAAAAGGAATAGGAAAATGACTTAAAAATAAATCAGAACGGGGAAGAGACTGGAATATAACCAGCTCTTGATACCATGAAGAAAAGAAGAAGTGAAAGAAGTGTTTTGTCTGGATAATAGTTTCTTGATTCATTGAGAGACCCAATGGGCCCTTTTTATATTTAGTACATCCAACTACTTTAATAAATATACAACCACCAACTACATCAATAAATATACAACTACCAACTAAATATACAACTACTAACTACATCAATAAATACTATCTAGAATATTCACATATTCTACACAATCGACTCCCACCCCTACCCTTACAAGTCGGGGAGGCATGTACACTTTTGCCCTTATGGAGTAATAGTCAAAGGTGAATTCTTTTCGAAATTACTATTACATTTTTGTTTCAAATATTTAGGACATAAAAAAGTCTTGGATATTAGTTTTTCAAACAAACTATATGGAATCACCTTTGATTATTAGAATTTTCTGGATCAAGTATTTTGCTGATGCATATCTTCCCAATTTTATTTGCCCATTCTGCATTGACTAATGTATTGCTGCATAAAAACTTTAGCTGACCAAATGAATCCTTGGAATCACTAGAGTAAATACAGCTTGAAGTAACCTTCAAGGTCTAATCTTTATTGAATAAATTGACATATGGATTGCGCACCTACCTCGCTAGTTGAGTGTGCTCATAAATGTTTCTCAAATTGCATAGTAGTGCAATTGAATTTTGTGATATTTGATAATTCTATTTAGTGCTGTATTACATATTTGTTACCCGATTCAAATAAACCGCCACATTGACCACAAAACTGCTTTAGCATGTGTTATGTGCTTGGACAAGAGAGGTTCAATTGGTAAGTCTTTTAAAGCTTTTAATTGAGTAGTTCTTTCAAATTTTGAGGACAAAATTTTGTATGTAGGGGAGTAGTATTACACCCCAAAATTTTATTAAATCTTTTATAAACCTATTTGGAGGAGTGTGACCTTGAGTCAAAGGAATTGTGCTTTAAAGCTAATAATTAGCTATTAAAATAATAAAAAGGGAAACATTACCGAAATTTTTTCCTTGTACTCAAGTTTAATTATTGAGTCAAAAATAAGTACATAGGGGAGTTAGGCGAAATCATAGACTTATACATATATGTTGGAAAAAAAAAATCTATTAAGCTAGTACCCAAAATGCAGTGGATGAATTCTTTATTTTAGGTTATGTGATTAATGGATTAAATTGATTAATTGATGTTGATTTCCTCTTGAGACCATGAGTTAGGGTTCTTTACTGGAAAATTTGAGGCTTTTCAAAATTCCCAATGTTTTTCACGAATTGATCAATTAGATATGCAATTAAATGATTAAATAACATGTTCTCATGTTAAATTGGTTGATTGTGCATTAATTGATTACTATTTAGGAGTTTTGAGATGAGGTCCGAGTTCTTTGCTTGAATAAATTTGGGAATTTTTTGCATATTAGCACTTCTAATGAAATTGATGGATTGGTCATTAAATTGGTTGCTAAATTAGAGTGCTGGAAAGTTGAAATAGTTGACTTTTCCATGTTGTTCTTTAAATTGCTGATATACCTGTGCCTTATGAGATCTGTTAAGTTGTTGATCTAGAAGTATTAAGAAAAAGAGGTTTCCTAAGATATTGAGTGCTTAAATACTGTTGTGGTATGCTGAATCAATTTGAGCTTGGGTTAACTGGTTAAATTGAGTGTGATTTAGTGAATTGAAGATTTCGGATTCTCTTGATAATTGATGCATGTTCATTGTTTTTCTCTCATGTTATTCTTGACATGCTTAGTTGAGTTACTAGTTCTAAAGATATTATAAATGTTAGAGTTGTAATGGCTAATTCTGAATTAGTTTTCGTTTGACTGGAGAGTGTGATGCATGTGATGAATTGCAACTACTGATGATTGCAAACACTGGTGTATAATGGACAGGATTATTGGACTGTTAAATTTGATTTGGTATATGGCCATTGATGAATCTGGAAATAATTGTGCTATATCTGTTTTTAACTCTTTATTGGTTGGGCATTTTTCTGATTTTCAGGTATGACCCCTAAAAAGAAAGGAAAGCTGGCAAATGCAATTCCAAAGCCACAAGCACCTTCCATCCAGTCTCCACAGGCACCTCCCATCCAGACTCCACCAGCATTATCACAACCAGAGTATGAACAACATATTTTCAAGTTAACAGCTCATGCTGACTGGTATGCATCTGTAATGTTGCAGAGAAAAGTTGTCAAGGAAAGAAAAATAAAGTGTAAGGATGATGAGCATTGATAAACCTTTGGTTTACCATGTTGTTAGGCTAAATTATACAAGAATTATGTAGTAGATTGCATGGAATTCAAGGTTTTACAACAAATAAGTCATAAGATAGGAATTTGAGCTAACGTTTTGAAGTTCTTTGCATTTTGAAGGTAAAACCACACTTATTGGTGCTAAAAAGTGATGAAGAACTCATGACAAAGAGTTGCGGCTCAAGATGGACCAAAGGAAGCCAAAATATAACAAGTCAAAGGCAAGAATAGCACGCTCCAGCGCAAAGAATGGACGCTCAAGCGCGTGCAGGCAGGGGAAACAACCAAATTAAGCAATCCAGGACGTTCAAGCGCACAAATGCATGCTCAAGGCCCAAGATCACATGAATCCACCATCGAGGAGCGCACACGAGCGCACAGATGGACGCTCGAGCGCGTGAAGGCAGGAAAATCCAGTAATTCATGCTCAAGAGGATGCTCAAGCGCCCAATAGCGCGCTTGAGCGCGCAAACACGCACCAGTCAACCAAGATTTAATGAGATTTAAGGAGATTTGCCACAGGATACAGATTTGTAATATTTCTTGAATGAAGCGGAAACAAATCAGTCTTGATTTATCAACTGATAGAGATCCCTGGGAAGATTTGAAGAGGGATCATAACAAAGATTCGAAGCTCAATCCGTCACCCAATCTGCAAGATCTTAAATAAGAAAAGTAAGTAATTAAAGATTTGATTGCAAATTTGATAGGGATTCATGAGAAGATTGGATGGAGGATTATGAGATATGGCTTCAATGGTTATAAATAGGGAGCTGAGGGTCACTCATTCACAAACTTTTACACTAGAACAAATCTAGAGAATTACATAGAGACCTGAAGGAGGAATCCTGTTACGGAGCGCTGGAACACTGAAGAATCAAGTCAACATCACACCAATAGAGGCTTGGGGTTCTCTTTTCTTTACTATTGTTTTTGAATTCAGTATGCTAGGCTAGATTTTTATGTAGTTAGGGGTAGATGGAACCCAATTGAATCGTTTATGTTTATGAATTAAATTGTCTCTAAAATCTTTTCCTTTTATAATTGAATAAATTTATCTATCTTTAATGCTTTCTATAAGTTTGCTCCTTATAAAATGATTTTGGAGAATTGTATGACAATAAGGATGTTGGTGCATGAATCTTGAATTGATAAATTTATCACAATCCTTGTGATCTAGGGATAGACATAGGGTAATTGTGCAATCTTTAAATTCTTGATCTTAATGCATGTTTTCTTGGGAAATAATCGGGGAACTAGGGTTCTTCTGAGATCACATAGATTTAGAGTTACAAGGAATTGAGCCCTAATAAACTTAGAAAAAATTGATTGGCAATATATTAAGAAAAGGTTCTTGACTGTTTAATTCATAGCATAACGAGGATATTGGGGGAAGTCGAAACCCTAACTACGCTTATTTTAATTTTTTTTATCAATCATCATCTTTTTCAATTGTCTTTTTGATTCTGAATTTTTAAATTGCATGTTATTGATTCTTTTAATTTCAAATTCAATTCTCTCCAATCCTATTCTTGATTGTCCAACTAAATCGCAATTAGTGAATTAGTGCTTGAAAATTTGATCCTCGTGGAAACGATCTCGTACTCATGTACACTTTATTACTTTACGACCGGTGCACTTGTCGAGTCGCAACAAGTTTTTGGCGCCGTTGCCGGGGATTGGATCTTTCAACATTAGAAGTAACTAATTACCTTTTACATTGGGCGTTTTAATTTTCTGCATTATTTTTCTGTTTTTATTCTCTGTTTTCCATTGTTGCATTTTTTTGTTTTTCTTCACATCTTTTCAATCTTAGTTTATGCGAGGTACTCTTAACCCACGAATCTTGCAGTTTGATCCTGAGATAGAAAAGACAGAAAGGAAACTCAGAAAGAATGCAAAGGAAAGGAAGGCTAAGGAAGCAAAAGAAGCCTCAAGTTCAACGGAACCAAAGGAGGAAACAATGGCTGACAACAATGTAGTTCAGAACCCTCCAAGGACGTTGGGAGATTACATAACCCCAGCTCGAGTTCCTCAGACAACAAGCATTGTTAGACCAACCGTGGATGCTAACAACTTCGAGCTCAAGCCAACATTGTTGCAACTAATTCAAAAATATCAGTTCGCTGGAGGAAGCACATAAGATCCTTATATTCATCTTGATAACTCTCAACTCTACTGTGATACATTAAAGACGAATGGAGTTTCACGTGACGCCATCTTGCTCAGACTATTTCCGTGCTCACTGAAGGATGTTGCAAGAGCTTGGCTGCAGTCACTACCTGAAGGAAGCATCACCCATTGGGATGACTTAGCAATGAAGTTCTCGACCAGATTCTTCTCAACTTCAAAGATGGCAAGACTCAAATCAGAGATCACTGCTTTTGAACAAAAAGAAAGTGAATCTTTGTATGAGGCATGGGGAAGGTTTAAAGGACTACTCCGAAAGTGTCCTCAACATGGCATTGAAGCAAGGGAGAGAGGAAGAATTTTCTTCCAAGGAATGACGACAAGCACAAGAACACTGGTGAATGCTGTAGTAGGAGGATCATTGAAAACAAAAACTCCGGAGGAAGCATTGGAATTGTTGGAATCCTTAGCTTCTCAAGAGTATGACAATGCTCCAGTCACACAAAGGAGAGCGAGAATCATGAAGCTTGACGGATACAATGCAATCTTGGCTCAGAATGAACAAATATTGCAAATTAATAAGAAACAACAAGAACAATTAGATGCTATTACAAAGCAATTTAATATTTCTCAAGTTTCTTCTGTTAGTAATTCTCAAATTGTTTGTGGTATTTGTGCAGATGCTAATGCAACAGAAGATTGCGACTACATGAGAACACCAGAAAAAGCGGAGGTCAATGGAATCTGGTACGATCAAAAGAACCAGAACAATCCAGGGAGGAACCAATATGGGAATAACTATAATCAAGGGTGGAAAAATCCTAACCAACACCCTGGGTTTAGTTATAAGTCAAACCATCAGCTGAATCCTCCTCTGCCACTACAACAACAACCCCCACCACAAGGCAACACTTCAAAGTGGGAGAAAGCTTTTGCGCAGCTGTCCAAGACCACATCGGATTATATTCAGAATGCAAATGCCTTTAGAGATGAAACAAGAGCTTCATTCTGAAATCAAGAAGCTTCTATCCGGAACCTGGAAACTCAGATTGGCCAGCTGTCAAAACAATTTGCTGAAAGAACTCATGGCACCTTCCCCAGTAACACTGACATGAACCCAAATGCACAATGTAATTCAATTGTCACCAGAAGTGGGATCGTGATCCAACCTGTGAAAAAGTTCCCAGTTGAGAAGAAGAAAGAAGCTGAACCTGAAGCCGAAAAGGAGAAAGAAGAAGATGCAGGAGAAGCTGAAAAGAGAAGTCCAGAGAAGAAGCAGCTCAAATGGTAGAAAAAGAAAGCTCTGGACCGACAAACAAAGCCAGCAGATCTGTCTCCCTATGCACGAGTTCCATACCCTCAGCGGTTGAAACAAGAGATCCAGAAAAAACAATACACCAAAATTCTAGACATCTTCAAGAAGCTGCAAGTGAACATTCCATTCGCAGAAGCCCTGGAAAGCATGCCGAATTATGCGAAATTTATGAAAGACCTTATGTCAAAGAAGCGCAAGCTGAAGGAATGCGAAACAGTGGCCCTGACAGAGGAATGCAGTGCAATCATCCAGAAGAAACTTCCTCCCAAGCTGAAAGATTCGGGAAGCTTCAGTATTCCTATAGCCATAGGAAATATTGAAGTAGGAAAAGCATTATGTGATCTGGGAGAGAGTATAAATCTGATGCCATTGTCCATGTGCAGAGCTCTTAGAATTAAGGAACTGAAGCCAACAACGATTTCTCTCCAGTTAGCTGATAGATCGATCAGACGACCAGATGGGGTAATTGAGAATGTCTTAGCTAAAATTGACAAATTTATCTTCCCTGCAAATTTTGTAATTCTGAATATGGAAGAAGATATTGAGATTCCCTTACTACTTGGAAAGCCATTCCTAGCCACCGCCAGAGCAATGATCGATGTGGAGCAAGGGAAACTGATATTGAGGATGAACGAAGAGACAGTCACCATTGATGTCTTTGAGTCAATGAAACATCCGTCAGATGGAGGAGACTGTTTCATGGTTTATATAATACAAGAAGCAGTTGATGACACGATAAAAGAGGAGAGTTCCCCACTAGAGTTAGAACAAATCAACGAAGAAGCTGAATTTGCTGATAAAGAACCAGTGGTGGAAGAACTAGAAAGAAAGAAAGATGACATCCCTATTGGAGCACCGAAGGTGGAGCTTTAGGAGTTACCTCCAAATCTGAAGTATGCTTTTCTTGGTGACAACAACACTTATCCAGTTATCATTAATGTTGAGCTGTCAACCATAGAAGAAGTAAAGCTTCTCAAGGTGTTGAAGAAACACATAGCTGACATAGGATGGTCCTTCTCTGACTTAAAAGTTATAAATCCTTCCTTTTGTACTCAAAAAATTCTAATGGAAGATGATATTAAACCTGTGAGGAAGCCGCAAAGGAGACTCAATCCAACCAAGAAAGAGGTGGTAAGGAAAGAGGTAGTTAAACTATTGGATGCAGAGATGATCTACCCTATATCTGATAGCGCATGGGTAAGTCTTGTACAAACTGTACCCAAGAAAGGTGGAGTCACTGTAGTAAGAAATAAGAATAATGAGCTGATTCCTACAAGGACAGTCACCGGGTGGGTGGAGGATGTGTGTTGATTATAGAAGACTTACTGCAGCCACTCGAAAATACCACTTCCCAATTCCTTTCTTGGACCAGATATTGGAGAGACTAGCTGGCCATGCCTTCTACTGCTTCCTGGATGGGTACTCAGGTTACAACCAAATAGCAGTAGCTCCAGAAGATCAAAAGAAGATAGCATTCACATGCCCTTACGAAGTCTTCGCTTACCGGAGGATGTCCTTCGGCATGTGCAACGCTCCGACAACTTTTCAAAGGTGTATGCTTTCTATCTTTTCTGATATGATTGAGAAATCCATTGAGATCTTCATGGATGATTTTTCTATTTTTGGTCCCTCTTTTGACACTTGCTTAGAAAATTTGTCCTGTGTTTTACGAAGATGTCAAGAGAGTAATCTTGTTTTAAATTGGAAAAAATGCCACTTTATGGTTAAAGATGGCATTGTTTTAGGACACAAGGTGTCCAAAGATGATATAGAAGTTGATAGAGCTAAAATATCTATTATTGAGAAACTTCCCCCTCCCTCTAATGCTAAAGGTATTCGAAGTTTTCTCGGTCATGCAGATTTTTACAGGCGCTTTATCAAGGACTTTTCCAAGATAGCAAACCACTATGCAAGCTGTTGGTCAAGGATGAGGAATTCAATTTCACGGATGAGTGTTTAGTTGCATTTAATATTTTAAAGGATCGATTGACCACTGCACCTATAATCACTGCACCAGATTTCACTTTACCTTTTGAATTAATGTGTGATGCTAGTGATTATGCCATAGGAGCTGTCTTAGGACAAAGAAAAGATAAATTGTTGCATGTAATTTACTATGCTAGTAAAATTCTTAATGATGCACAAATGAATTATGCTACCACTGAAAAAGAATTACTAGCAGTAGTCTATGCATTTGATAAATTTAAACCGTATTTGCTGGGGTCTAAAGTAATTGTTTATACTAATCATGCTGCCTTAAAGTATTTGTTGAATAAGTAGGATGCAAAGCCACGATTGCTTAGATGGATGCTGCTCCTTCAAGAATTTGAAGTAGAGATCAGAGACAAGAAATGAGTGGAGAACTTGGTGGCGGATCACCTATCCAGGATCCAAGAAAAGGATATTCAAGATGGACCTGGACTGAAGATCAGAGAAGAGTTCCCCGATGAGCAAATTCTGGCTCTAAATGTCATCTCAGATCTACAACTGGAGGAAGTGAAGAGCACAAGTACACCTCTATGGTTTGTGGATTTCGCGAACTTTAAAGAAGCAGGAGAAATTCCAGTAGACTTCACATGGAAATAAAGAAAGCAGTTTCTACATGATGTCAAGAAATACCTATAGGATGAGCCCTTCTTTTCCTACAGATATGTTGATGGAGTAATAAGGCGATGCATTCTGGAAGATGAGATGAAAGACATCTTGTGGCATTGCCATGGTTCAAGCTACGGTGGACATTTCGCGGGAGAAAGAACAGTCATAAAAGTACTGATGAGTGGCTTTTATTGGCCAACCCTTTACAAGGATGCAAGGAAGTTCGTTGAATCCTATGATAGATGTCAGAGAATGGGGAATATTTCCAGGAGACATGTAATGCCCCTCAACAACATATTGGAGGTTGAGATCTTCAATGTGTGGGGAATAGACTTCATGGGACCCTTTCCTCCTTCCTATGGCAACAAATACATCCTGGTTGCAGTTGATTACGTCTCGAAGGGGTAGAGGTTGTTGCTCTTCCTACTGATGATGCTTGGGTAGTCATCGTGTTCCTAAAAAGAAATATATTTGTCCGATATGGAGTACCACGAGCAATCATAAGTGATGGAGGAACTCACTTTGACAACAGACAAGTGGCGTATGTGCTGGCTAAATGCAAAGTGAAGCACAAGATTGCCACACCATATCATCCGCAAACAAGTGGTCAGGTTGAGATATCCAACCGGGAGCTGAAACGTATCTCGGAGAAAACAGTCGGAAGTTCCAGAAAAGACTGGTCCAAGAAGCTTGATGATGTACTGTGGGCATACCGGACTGCATTCAAAACTCCAATCGGCATGTCCCCTTTCCAATTAATGTTTGGGAAGGCTTGTCACTTGCCAGTGGAATTGGAACATAAGGCTTTATGGGCAATCAAGTACCTCAATTTTGATTCCAAGACCGCAGTTGAAAAAAGACTACTTCAACTGGATGAGCTCGATGAATTCAGACTCTCTGCGTACGAAAGTGCCAGTCTCTACAAGGAGAAGACGAATAAGTGGCATGACAAGAAGATCCTACCTCGAGACTTCAAGGTGGGGAATCAAGTATTACTCTTCAACTCTCGGCTCCGTCTCTTCCCTGGGAAGTTAAAGTCCAGGTGGTCAGGACCATTCATCGTGATGAACATGAAGTCATACGGAGCAGTAGAGATCAGTCCACTGGATTCCGCCAGAAGCTTCACAGTCAATGGCCAACGCCTGAAGTTATACATGGGAGGAGAAATTGACAGGGTAACAACCATGGTTTCCCTTATAGAGGCAAAGTGAGTCAGGTACGTCAGGCTCAGCACGTTAAACAAGCGCTACTGGGGAGGCAACCCTAAAATTTATTGTTTTCTAATTTCTTTACTTCTAATAATTAAGAAAATACAAAAAAATTAGATAGTTAGGTTAAGGTGATTAAAAGTGAGGAGTAAAATAAAAATCTGAGTGGCTTAGTGGACGCTCAAGCGCACACCTTAGTGCTCGAGCGCTCAATTGTAATGAAAATAATTGATCGAGCAGGGCGCTCGAGCTCCCAACTGAACGCTCAGGCGTGTTATAACAGGAAAAATTGAAAATAATTGGCACTTTGCACGCTCGAGCGCCCAATCAGCCGCTCAAGCGCGCAAGATGAAAGTCACAGGGATGTCTACCTGCCACTACGCGCTCGAGCGCTCAAACCAGCGCTCAGGCGCGCAAAAAAGGGGGAAAGTGCAATACAAATAGCACGCTCGAGCGCCCCAATGGCCGCTCGAGCGCGCTTGCACGGCCCGAAAAAATTTTAAAACTTCTTTTAAATAACCCCTTTTCCCTCATTTCATTTCACCTCTCTTATTTCCACTTCTCTGCACACACCCTAACCTTTATCTCCCTCTTGAGTGCATTCTCCTTCTATCTCATCCACAAGAACATCAAGGTATTCATCTTTCATTCTAATTTTATGTTAATAAATTATGACCTTGCAATGGTTCTTTCCTGTTCTTATGAAGTGCAAGTCAAACTAAGGGTTCTTAAAGGGTGCGATTTGGGGATATAGGGTTTATCTGAAATTGATAAATAAGAAATGATAGACACACCATTTTTTGCAATTTCTCGATGAATTCTCACAATGATAGTGTTGCTAGAGATTATGAAGTGGTGGAAGACATGAAAAGATTTAGTAAATAGTTCAAAGAAAGCTGCACTTAAGGTGTTTGATGAAATGCTCATATGGATAGAAACCATTAAGACCCCAACTTGTTGACGGAAGGTTAATGAAACAAAGACATCATGGGTGTGCATTTGATAGTGATCAAGTTTCAAGGAGGGTACATTGTAATAGCCATGTAGTTCATAAGAATATTCTCATCACATGGAGTGCATCAATGTAGGACTATTTTATTGTTACAATCTCGTTTGAATTATCACTCTGAATTGCAAATGCAATGCATACACTAAATTTGAATGCATAGTCAAGTGAGTGCAATATTATGGTAAAACATCCATAGTACTCTAGTCACTTCCTCAATTAACATCATGCAAGCTTTTACAAGTTTTCCCAAGATGTTACTCATATACTAAATCTGGGAATTCGAAATGCATAATTGAATTGATTGTGGAATTCTTTCTGAAATTGCAGGATGTCTGGAAGAGAAAAAAGGCAAAGAGGTACCAAGCAAATTGGTGCTGGTTCTAGTTCCCAACCACCAAGGGAGAGAGGTGCAAAAATTCAAGTCACCCACCTATGAGCAGAGATACCATGCACACATCTTGGGCAAGGTAATATGCAAGGAGAGAGTTCTCCACCTCACCATGGGCCAGCATCTTGATGTCTACAACAATATCACCAGGCAGGGTTGGAGAAACTTCTGCACCTTGCCAGTAGTGATAAGGGAAGATATTTGAAGGGAATGCTTTGCAAATTCTCACATTGAGGAGCAAGAGGGAGTAGAGAAGCAGTATGTGAGCTTCGTGAGGGGGAAAGAGATCAACTATGATCCCCTCTCCATTCAAAGCTTATTGAAGACAGCCATGTGTGACTGGACATCTGTCACCACTTGTGCATATCAGAACAAGTGCCATTCACTGGAATATGATGAAGATGAATTGGAGGCTGCAAAGCCTATACTGGAATGCATCACAAATCCAGGAGAGAAGTGGGACAAAACAAAAGACGGGCGTCCTAAGAGAGTATGGCTGAAGAACTTGAATAATCCAACCAAGGTCTGGTATCACTTTGTGGTCAGCAACATCATGCCATCTGGCAAGCACACTGAGGTGGTGGTAAAGCAGGCAGTTTTGATTTGGGCAATTATGACAGAGAGGCCCATAGATTTTCCCAGGATCTTAGCTGAGAGCCTTTATGACATGGCT